AAGGAAGGAAGGAAGGAAGGAAGGAAGGAAGGAAGGAAGGAAGGAAGGAAGGGAGAAAGGGAGAAAGGAAAGGGAAGGAAAGGGAAGGAGACAGAGAAAAAAGAAAATAGAAAAAGAAAGAGCTAAACTGTGTGATTGGAGCTATGGAGAGTTCATTGGGTGTGCTCAAAGTGTTAAAGACAGAGAAAAGCAAAATGGGGGTGGGGGGGGAAGCTTGTCCTTTACTTTCACCCTGGCAATTGTCATACTTGACATACTTTCACTTTTGGGTCATAAATATTACAATGGCAACCACAAGAAAAGCAGCAAAAATAGGAGAAGAAAGGAGAGGTTCACTAGAGCAACTTACAGACAAGGGCATCACACCAGATTTATTGCAGAAAATGTTTGAGGAATTTGACAAGAAGATGACTGAAACAGTTGCCAATAGTTTGGGATGCTTTTAAAAAGGAAATGGAAGAAGGATTTGCAGGGATAAAAAAGGGTATGAAAGAAGTTAAGAAGACTGAAGAATCTGTAGGACAATTGGCTGGAGATGTAAAATTGATGACAAAGTGGAAGTTTTGGAAAGTAAGACCGAAGTTATAAGTAGAGAGATGGAGAAATATTTGGATAACCTGGCATTACTGGAACTGAGAGAAAAAAAATTGTTCATTACGCTGCACTCAAAGTCCTGCTCCCTTTTTACATGCATCACATGCATTACATATATGTAAAAGAGGGGTGGGGCTTCAATCACGCACCCCATCTTGACTTTTTGACCCCTCCCCCAAAAGGTATCCTTAGTCTTAACCTAGTTTTCCTAGCAACCACCATGAACTGCTTAATAATACACTTGTAGTATCATTTGCTAAGCTAACCTAAAACAGGAGATAATTCTGTGAACGTCTTATTTTATCACTGTTAAATACTCAGGAATGTTAATGTACAAGGTAGATATTTACTGAAGTTTATTTTTAATCATTAGAGTAAAAACTGCCTTTATTCTCTCTTTTCAAACAATTGGCTGGAAGCATTAAGCCTTTTAAAAAATGGAGGAAAAAAAAGGTGGGGGGAGAAAAGGATATTTACTACAACTGAGAAGCTATTGCTATTATCCTTAGTTTTATTCCTAGAGGATTCTACAAATACTTCAATGAAAGAAAGAGATGCTTTTTTATCCATTCTATCTCATGAAAAATGTGCAGTTTGGTATATTTCAAGCAACATGTTTTAATACTTATCACTTTTCTTGTCATTAGAAAGCTGGACAATGTTTTTCTTTCCATCATTTCAGTTGCCTTTAAAAAATCCTCAAGAAAATAAATATATGGAGACTTCAGGAATTGTTTGAGCTCAACACTTT